GTTGTAATGTGACAAAATATGGAAAAGTTCAAGGGGTATGAATACTTTTGCAAACCACTGTAGTTGATGGTACAATGCTCTAATATTCAGTGAGGGCCCTGTAACACATTTTAGATAACTTGAGCCGATCATTAAAATTTTTACATCTACGATGAAGATGGAATAAAAAATAAATCAACTGGAAGTCTCTTTTAGGTGTATTAGGTTTATTTATTTATTTTTTCTACATGCTGTCATAGTATGGTTATATGACAGTAAAATGGTTTTAAACCAACAGTAATGTACTTTGTTTTATTTATGTTTGAAGTGCCTAATGAAAATAAACAGTTTAAGTTAATTATAAGGTTTTTTAAGGATATTTATTAGTACTTGTATCGGTACTTGGTATCGGCAAGTACTTTAATGTAAGTACTTGTACTCGTACTCGGTTTTCAAAAATCTGGTATCGGTGCATCCCTAGTGGAAATCCTTATTTTTATTTCTATGCTACAAATGAGTTATGTTTAAAGGAATAAAGCAGCGAAAAGAAAGAAGTGAGTTAATCAGTTTTTTGTGTTTTACAGGAGTTCTGTCTTTTTGCTGTTGTGGGCCTGGTCTCTGATTTCTTCCTGCAGATGTTTTTCTTTACAACAGTGTTGTCTATAGATATCCGCCGCATGGAGGTGAGGCCTGTTGGTGGTGGTTGTATAAACTGTGGTCAAACGTGCCAAATTTAACATAAATATAATTATTATTGGTTCCAAATGTGTACAATGAAGTAAATCTTCTTAGATGCAAGTCATTAGTATATAACTTAAATGTATGCAGTTTAAAGTTGATAAAATTAAAACGATGGTCAACATGCAGCTTCCTTTGTCGAGGTCAAATACAAGACATAGAGCAGGTCAGCTGGGGGGCACAGCCCCTCATAACCTGAGCACATAGTTTCAAATTACTTTTCTCCCTCATGACCTTTTTTTTTTTACTAAAACCTTTGGAAAATGTTCAGCTTTGTTATTCTCCACAAGAGCTCTATAAGCCCACTGTTTTAAACAAATAATGACAAAGAATCAATTAACTTTCAAGAATCCGATTTAATGATCGATAATCCTATTAGATGTCAGGAAATAGTGAAAATATTATTTGTTTATCAGGTTTTCAGATTCGTTTAAAACTAAAAACTTTAATAATAAAGATCAACATAAAAGTTATTAAATGAGTGATTTGTTTTAAGGCTGCAACGATTAATTGACGACTAATCGATTATTAAAATAATCAATGACTAATTTCATAATCAATTAATCATTTCCTCTTTTTTTGTTCTTTGTTTTTCTCTCCAAACTGCTTTGACAGCTTCCACTGCCACATCTGCCTTTCTGTCTTTGACACACATGCACAGTAGTGGTAACTGGGGTAGGCCGTGGACGTCACAAGACATTATACAGACAGGCTCTGGTATCATGGCTACCTGACAACAGAACTCAAAGTGTGGGATCATTTTAAGAAAATGAAAGAGAAACCTGTGTAATATCTGCAGAGTAGAACTTGTCTTCCACAGCAATTATTTTTAGTTAGCATATAGCTAAAATCTAACCATGGTTATATAATTGCAGCTGCATTCTTGCAAGATAAGCTCTATGTTTTATATTAAATTAACGTATGATCTGATTAGTTGACTAATGGAAAAAAATAATCAGTGATTAATCGATTATAAAAATAATCGTTTGTGGCAGTCCTAGGATCAAACAATGTTTTAGTCAAACAGAACCAACAAGAATGAAACAAAAAG